TATGTACCACAATATGAGCACTTAAGTAAACTTAGTTCTTAAGTTAATTAACTATAATTAACCAGTCAACAAATCCATGGCATTGTCTCACTTTTAGTCTTGTATTTAGGTTTACAAATTGCAAATAATTTTAGATGATTAATAGATGACTTGAGAGCCAATATTGAAGTTGCTCTTTAGGAGTATTCATGGTTTATCAGTTTTTAACATTGGGTGTTTGTGTATCTTGTGCATAACCAGAGAACAGTGTCTGTGTTGTACATTTATCACAAAGAAAACTAGGAACGAGTAGCTATTCCGAACAGGCACAGCACTTGTTCTGTGTTCTACTTAGATTAATTATCATTGCCCATAGGCATTTTTACATTGCTCTGGTTGGCTCTTTAATACAGTGGAATTGTTGAGAGCTGATGCTATGAGAGTCAACCCAAGGCTTTGATATGGTGTATCAGACGGTTTATAAATGGTAATTTTAAAGGGCTTAAGATTCAGTCATGACAGTTAGCTCCAGGTTGAAATTTGATATTTGATGGCAAAAGTCTATTCTAGGACATGTAAGGGGAAAATTGCCTCTGTCATTTTTGAGTTATCCAAATGCAAATTTATTTATTCTTCATTTAAGGACTTATTTGCATTTGTTCAATACTGCTGAGACTTTCTTTTTGAAAATGAATTTTTTCTGTTAGTTTCTTCTATGGACTGGTATTTGTGATGAGAGTTTATTTGTCTCAAATTAAGAAAATGAGTTGCTGCACAGGTGAGGTAGTATTTGAATCATTTAAAAGTTCATGTCAGTGTTTTGGTTCTTTTCAATTTTTCCTTTCTCTTTTCTTTTCTTTTTTTCGTTTTTTTATTTTTTGCTTTGTTCTGTTTTGTTTATTTACTTTTGTTTTTAGTTTTTATAAGGGGGTGTTTTGGGCTCTTCGTGGCCTTGCTGACATACTTGGCTGGCCATATTTAGTCTGCGCACTAATTGTTAGTTGGCCCACTTGAGTCTTACTTGGTGCTCTCAGTTTTTTTAGTCTGGTTTTATATTTTTGTCCACTTGGTTGTGTTTTAGTTCATGAGAGATTTGTATTCTGATGGGCCGGAGTTTAATCCGTGTACTAAATTTTAGTCTGCAGACTAAAAGTAATCCGCGGATTATTTATTTTTGCAAAATATTTAATTCCCCCACTGGAAACTATCCTAAAAGAATGTTTAATTCTCTTAGAATAGCCAAGGGAATTCACAGCTACGGGTGAGTTCTGCCGTTTTTTGTTCTCAATACCTAGACATAATAGACCCTACTACCTCCCTTATGTATTTGGCTCCGTTGTGCCTAGGTGTTGGTGTACATTACTATGCATGACACCTATAACTGTGACTGTCCCTTAGTTGTATTGTTTATTGTATATATTTTTGTTTAGCTTTTGGTGGGTGAATTGGGCATATTTGCAGATGGAACTGTGTTGAATTTGTAGTGCTCAAAGATGTAGGATGTTTTTTTCAGTGAGTTTTTCCAAAAAGAAAAGAATGTTCTCTATTTATTTATGGGTGCAAGGGTATGAGGGGGCAAAGCCCACAATAGAAAAAGTAAGTTTATACCCGCACTCCTGAGGTGATATGTCAATTTCCTGAAGAGTCCTAAGATAATGACAATGTCAGCAAATATCTTTTAGCAGGGAAGTCAATCCAAAATGGAGAATAATCCGCGGTGGCCTGATCCTTCTTAGCTCACACAAATTGAAAATATCTGGCTTGAAATCTATAGTAATATTAATTAAATATGTTTATTACTTTCCTCTCATCACTAATAATTTAGGAAAAAAATGTTTATACTGTGTAACTGGAATGCATTAATAGAGAAAAATTAGTATAATGGGAACTCATATCTTAAAAGCAGGCTAATGTGCCCCCTCCCAGCCATGTCAATGGATGGTGAATCCAGGTCGTAGAAGACCAAATACTTTACTTTGGGAACTTTACTTCTAGATTTCATTTTGATTTTAACTTTTTTTGGTTTTGTATTTTTTTAATAAACGCACTGGCATTGGAACATAATAAACTAAAATAAAAATGTTTCTTTACTGTGCCTCATCATTGCGCAATCAAAAATTTTTTTTGCATACACTGTGGTGAAATAATTTTTAAAACTTGGACTTGCTACTGTGGAGACTGATGTTTAAAGTTTATAACTGTATAAACATTTTCTATGTCCCCCCGACACCATGGATTTCTTATAACATTGGATATATTTTTCCTTGCTGGACTATTCTCTTTTGGATTGACTTCCCCTGTTTGGATTATTTCACTGCATTATCATCTTTAGGATTCGTCAGGAACAGGACATTTCACCTCAGGAGTGCGGGTATGTACTTAATTTTTTTTTCCCAAACTTTCAGGGCAGGTCTGTAAAACTAGAGGGAAAACCTTTTTTGAAAGGCTTAATAGTTATTCATTCTTGAAACAGTAAAAACAATGTAGGTCGCTCTGATTTCTGTTTTCGTTCACCGTATGGTATAGGTTTGGCTTATGGTCTATTTAGATTGTCAGTCCCCTGAGTGATTTATTGATATCTAGACTGAAGTTTAGGTACTGGGGGGTTTGAAAATCATTATTTTTACAAGAATAAATAATGACAAAGATGCACGGAACCAAAGGTTCTGAGTGTTAAGCAATTTAAATGAGTAAGTAATGAAATGGCAGCAGAAACATCTGCATTAAAAGCCAAATTGCAGTAGTTACTGGTTTTCTTTTCTTTAGGCACAGAGATGATTCAGAAGAGCTATTTTCTAGTTTGGCCTGAAATTTTTGCAGGTTGCATGCTACCACACCCTGTATTATGGTCAGAAATCTGAACTTTGGGAGACACTGAGTTTTGACCCCACATAATTTTCCACTTAACCTTCATCCATAGAGTACTGAACCAAGGCTTTTCTCATCAGGAGTCTCTCAAAGGGTTTAAAGTAATAATGGATACTTTTTTCAAAGGCAGGTTTGGTCGTGATTTTAGTGTAGGCTCTTGGAATGAATTCTTTTCTTTATTGTTTTTAACTCTTTGATTCATGAGTTAGGATTCCCTGGCAAAATAGTCTAATATGTGTACCTGGCATGGTCACTTGTAGCCAGTAAGGTACCAAAAAGATGTGAATTACTTTCTTTTCTTAAATAATCAGAAATAACCTTACAATACTAGTTTATTAATAGCTCTAACAAAATCCTCATTGATATAACATGAAATTTTTTCATTTAAAATACAGTCACTGTCCAACTACCCTACATTTGAATGTTAGCAGGAGATAATTATTTCCACTTTTGGTGGTACTTTTAATTCTACTTATGTATTCCCATTACTGGCATTTTTGGTTAGACTAGCTAGCAAAATAAATCCATATGCTGTCAAATAAATGCAAACTGCCCTCAGGGATACAATATGTCAGTGGTGCTTAATATTTGTATGAAAAATTTTCTGAGTTTGCCCACTCATTATTTTCTTTTACATTCTAAGTTGATTATGGACCTGGCAGGGGAGCAGGAGAGGGGAAAATGAGCAAGAATAGTGGAAGAGCTAAACATTTCAAATAATACAATAACTTTAAGGTTTCCTTGACTGAAGCAAGTAAGATCACTCAAAAGAATAAAGATAAAGCAGTTTTTTACCTTACCTCTGTAAGGTAATAGCCAAATAAATTGACTGAGGCCTTTAATGTTCTGAAATAAATTCCTAAGATCCTACTCAAACCAGTTTCTCAGTTCCCATGAAAAATATCTATATTAATAATAAAATTTGTATAAAAACAAAAGAAAAAAAAGGTTTTCACTGTAGAAAGTACTCTTATAAGTAGTCTCTTGAAATCTAATGAGCTTGTAGTAACTAGTTCTCCTGCCTTCAGCCTGAGTGAATAGCCATGTTACCTGAGCCATTCTTGTTAGGAAACCTTAGCCTCCCAGGCTCCTGCATGCCATGTCACAATCTCCATGTCCTTCCCTCACTTGTAGGTATGTTTCTTTCCATTTATACACATCTGCTTCTCTTTATATGTCTGCCCACCTCCACCATAGCCACTATCACACCTTCTATTTGATTCTTTGTTCTTCCTATCAAGGAATGTGTTTCATTTTTCTTTGGTTTCAAAGGCTTTCTGTCCATCTGCTTTATTTCTGTTTTTTCCCCTTCTGCTTTTACTGTCCATAAGAGAACAAAGTGCATTTTCATCGTTTTATGTATTGGTTAGGAGTTTTAAGGCATAGAAAGCTTTCTATCCTTTAAGCAAATTAATTTATTTGCATTTTGCTTTAATATAGCCTTCAGTTGACTCTTTTTGTGAGTTAATGGCTCTTAACGAAAAATACATCTCTCTCCCTGATGAAAACTGTGGACTATTCATTCGAATGAGGGTAATCTGGCCATGTGCATAATAACACCTACTTGAGAAAACATTTTGGACATTTTGTCAAATTCTGGGTATTCAAGAATTTCTTCAAATAATAATAGGCTCTGTTTATTGAAGAGATAATACCAAATCATTAACATTTATAGACCTAGAGTAAACTGGTATTGATTGCCAAATTTGAACAATGCCGTCCATTATCAACAGTTGTTCTGCTAAAAATCATACAAAAGAAGCAACTTTTTATCTACTGCCACAGCAGTCAAAACTTTAAAAAATTTTTATATTCCTATACTCGTGCTTGCCTCCAGAACCCAGCCTTTCTCTGGTGCCTGTCATATTTTGTGTGCATGTTTGATTGTACTGCTTTATGATTAGGATATGTAGATTTTTTTCAATTTCCCCTAGCTTTTTTCTCTCTGAGCTTTTCTCATATAGTCTTTAATTATAAGTTCACCCAAGTGTGGTGAATCATATGCAGTTAACACTTTTTATTCTAGAAGGTTCCTTTCACAAATGCAACCATGTTTTTGTACGTGGTAGGAATTAACTCAGTACTCAGAGGATAATTTGCCAAGATTCTTACAATAGAGCATTAATTGTTCTTTCACCTTCTTTGTACTGCAGGTCTTCCGACCCCGAACTCCACCGGAGGCAATTGCACTGTGTAGCCGTCTGTTGGAGTATACACCAACTGCCCGATTGACACCACTGGAAGCCTGTGCACATTCATTTTTTGATGAATTACGGGACCCAAATGTCAAACTACCAAATGGGCGAGACACACCTGCACTCTTCAACTTCACCACTCAAGGTAATTCCAAACGCTTAGCTCTGGGAAAGTTACACGTGGGTGTGAAGTGACACTGTTAATAAAAATCTGTATAGGACAAAAGTGGGCATATTAAGTACTTATGCAGGTAGGAACCATCCTTTCTAACCACTTATTAGGCTACTACTTTTATCATGTTGAACAATATAGTGGCAGGTAAAATTTTTCAAATAGGCATAGCTTCTCTAATTTTTAGCAGGTTGTGATAAATCTTGGCACATGAGAAGTCGTAGAGATTTCACTAATTAGACTAATGTACAGTTTAACCTTCAGGTTTGTATCTGAAACTTAGAATATTAGCATTTCTTGCTTCCTAAAGGATTTATATCAAGCTTTTTAAACCTGGAAATAAATTGGTGACTGTATTTGTATACATTCAGATATCTTACAAACAGGGGAAGAACTGGAATCCTATGCCCTTTCTTAGAACTTATATAGGGGATATAGAGAAATTCCCAGCACCTCTGGGGCTTGGCACCATTGCTCCTGCTGAGAAAACGTTGAAAGGAAAACTGAGTTTGTGCATTGGTGGTTTCTAAAAGACTCAGGAGTAGTCATTATTTCCTCACCACTTCTGTGTTCACTTTTCTTTTCTTTCTGATTAAGACCCTAAGTGATTCATTCAATCAACCACACTGCCTCTATGATAACAATTTTCTTCTTAAACTGAACATAAAAGTGCACAATTCCCTGTAGATAAAACAAGCAATAAACAGTTGATTGATTGACTGATTAGTAAGTTTAGTCAAGCTACAAATATAGAAGGGAGATGGAGAGCTTTCTGTGACCAGGAAATAGATATATTTCCTTTATTCTAAGGTGAATTTTTCCCCCATATTTCAACTTTTCTATTGAATATGGAAAAATGCATTGCTTAAGCTGTAGATTTGGAAGATCTAAGTTGCTAGTAAAATAGACTTGGATGATTCCATTGACTATAATCTTAAGCTGTCAATATTATGTAACTACTGGCAATGCTGATGTAGTCTTAAATTATATTCATAAAAGAAAAATGTTCAGATATCCTGGGACTATTAATTCTGACTTTTTAGAGCTGATCAGAAATCATTTGGAATGTTGTTTTAGGCCTGACTATGCCATTTTAAGAATATTAATGAATGGTGGATAGGGTATACTAAGGAGCAGAATTGAATATAGAGCCTGGAAAGTGAAGACTTAAGGGATTCCTGGGAGCTGTCTAAAATACCTCAAAGACTGTCTTCTAAAGAAAGTATTAGATATATATTCTTTTTCCAGATTTCAAAGTTGAAAATAGTAGCAGAAAATTAGAGAACAGTACACATTTGTGCTTAACTATAAAGACCTCAGCTTCTGGCACAAATAGAGACTGAATAAAATTATTGATGAATCAATGAAGTTTTTAATTGTTTAATAGTGGAACAAGTGGTTTTTAAAACATTGTTCTCTGTGTCAAAAACTGGATGATGTCAAATATTGTAGATAAGATTACTCCAATTTGGCAGAAGGTTAGACTGGGATCCTAGTCTTGGCTTCTTTCAGAGCAAAGATTCATGATTCCATGTCATAAAGTTTTTGACCTCTTAAGAAAATAAATTTAATTTTTATTGCTTTTGTTTTAATCCAGAGTAATACATGTAGATTGAGGAAAATGTTTAAAATACAAAGGAAGTGTAGAGAAAGTTAAAATCCCAATCCCAAAATAATCGCTTTTACCATTCAAAATAATCACTTTGTAGCATTTAATGGTGTAGGTCTTTTCAGTCTTTTTTCTAATGCATATGCTGATAGTCCTTGAATATAAAGTGACCCTGTATTTTCCTATTAAGAAGATCCCGAAAGGGTTTTTTCAGTTAACTTGAATGTATTTAAAATTACATATTTCATAAATTTAATATAAATTTAGGAATTTTACTTTTTTACATCTTAAATTTCATGAAGCAATTTTATTTAAACTCTTTATATGCATATTTTCCATCTGTGTCTTTGTAATCAATAGAACTACTTTTTGAACCATCTGTCATAGTTTTTTTAGGTTACATCATCTAAATTTTTTGGTATGAGACACTTTTGAATCTATATGAGGCCACCATTGGAAATTGTACAAATACCCATTTACATAATGTGATAAATTTTTTTTTCTTTCTTTTTGTACTGGAGGTATATGTTTATTATCTGTACAATATAACTATTTACTGGATTGCTTTTTAAGTGGTCTCTAAAAGGCTTTTGTATACAGTGACATCCAGCAGTTGCAATTGTGGAGTCTCAACATCAGAAACTACTAAGTTAATGTTAAATTTCTTTGCCGCCTTTTTTTTTTTTTTTTTACCACTTCTGTCAGGTGACCTTAAAGTTTCCCAAACCAGCATTGATTGAGGTTTTTTTCACACCAAGTGTCTTCTCCAACGAGTACTTTGTTACTCAAAGTACTCAAATCAAAGAAGCCTCTTGTCAAGTGAGCGACTTGGTAGAAACCCAAATACATGATATTTATGATGGGCACATTTTGGAGAATAATTCTCCCTATATTCAGACATATTTGGTACACACTCTTCAGTGTATGTGTTCAGTGCACCTGTATGTGTTGTTCAAAATCAAGATACTACTTAAACCTTTTATTTGATCAGATGTAAAAATCTAGGATTCAGTTTCACTCTTCACATGTGCCATTTTTAAAGTAATTATATTTGATTCTCTAGTCACTAGCTAATAATTTTCTGTGATTACTAAAGAAAATAAAATTTAAAAACAACTAAATTTGTTATTCTATGAATTTCTAAGCTTTTTTAAAAATTGAGATAAAATTCTCATAGGATGAACCATTTTAAAGTAAATGATTCAATGGCATTTAGTATATTCACAGTGTTGTGCAGCTACCACCTCTATCACGTTCCAAAACATTTTCGTTGCTCCTGAGGAAAACTCCGTATCCATTAAGCAGTCAGTCCCCATTAACCCCCTCCTCCAACCGCTGACAGCCACCAATCTGCTTCCTGTCTCTGGATTTATTGAAACTGGATATTTCCTATAAATGGAATCATATAATATGTGACTTTTTGTGTCTGGCTTTTTTCACTTAGCATAACGTTTTAAAGGTTCATCTGTGTTGTAGCATGTGTCAGTACTTCCTTCCTTTTTATGGCTGAATAATACTCCACTGTACCGTGTCTTTATAAGTTCAAATATACCACATTTTGCTTATCCATTCATCTGTTGATGGACATTGGGTTTGTTTCTACCTTTTGGCTCTTGTGAATAGTGCTGCTATATGACCATTTGTGTACAAATATTTGAATACTTGTTTTCAATTCTTCTGGTTATTGCTGAGTTATATGGTAATTCTATGTTTAATTTTTTGAGGAACTGCCAAACTATTTTCTACAGTAGCTTGCACATTTTACATTCCCACTAACAATGTACAAGGGTTCTCATTTCTCCACATCCTCACCAATAATTATTTTCCTCTCTTTTTTTTTTTAATATCTATCCTAGTGAATGTGAAGTGGTATCTTATTGTGGTCCTAAGCTTATTACTATATAATGAATCAGGACCTGGTAAATGCTATTTACCTGTTCTCTAATAAATTATATTCATAATATAGATTAACATGAAAGTAAATTGACTTAGATTTTAGAATATGGTCTTGAAAATATTGGAAGGGGGCCGGCCCAGTGGCGCAAGTGGTTAAGTGCGCATGCTCTGCTGTGGCGTCCCAGGGTTCGCCGGTTCGGATCCCAGGCGCATACCGGCGCTCTGCTTGGCAAGCCATGCTGTGGCGGCGTCCCATATAAAGTGGAGTAAGATGGGCACGGATGTTAGCCCAGGGCCAGTCTTCCTCAGCAAAAATAAAAAGAGGAGGGTTGGCAGATGTTAGCACAGGGCTGATCTCACAAAAAAAAAAGAAAGAAAATATTGGAAAGACTTTTGTGAATGGGCAGTTTTCATACTGTTAACAAATAGGATAAAACTTGAATGTCCTTGGAAGCCTCCATAGTTGTTATGATACTTCAGCTTTGCACATGCCTTTTTAAAGAAAAGGCTCAAATTTTTTTTTTTATTTCTACAAACGAAATGATATATTTTAAAATCTCCTATTTTTGTTTCTTTTTTTTATTGCAGTAACATTGGTTTATAACATTATGTAAATTTCAGATATACATCATTATATTTCTATTTCTGTATAGATGACATCATGTTCACCACCCAAAGACTAATTACAATCCATCACCACAGACATGTGCCTAATCGTCCCTTTCACCCTCCTCCCTCTCCCCTTCCCCTCTGGTAACCACCAATCCAGTCGCTGTCTCTATGTGATTGTTGTTGTTTTTATCTTCTACTTATGAGTGAGATCATACGGTATTTGACTTTCTCCCTCTGACTTATTTCACTTAGCATAATACCCTCAATGTCCATCGGTGTTGTCACAAATGTCTGAATTTCATCGTTTCTTATGGCTGAGTAGTATTCCATTGTGTATATATACCACATCTTTTTTATCCATTCGTCCCTTGATGGACACCTAGGTTGCTTCCAAGTCTTGGCTATTGTGCATAATGCTGCAGTGAACATAGGGGTGCATTTATCTCTAAGCATTGGTGTTTTCATGTTCTTTGGATAAATACCCAGCAGTGGAATAGCTGGATCGTATGGTAGTTCTAGTCTTAATTTTTTGAGATATCTCCCTACTGTGTTCCATAGTGGCTGCACCAGTTTGCACTCCCACCAGCAGTGTATGAGCGTTCCCTTCTGTCCACATCCTCTGCAACACTTGTTGTTTCCTGTCTTGTTAATTATAACATTCTGACGAGAGTGACATGATATCTCGTAGTTTTGATTTGCATTTCCCTGATAGTTAATGATGTTGAACATCTTTTCATGTGCCTGTTGGCCATCTGCATATCTTCTTTGGAGAAATGTCTGTTCAGGTGAAAAGGCTCAATTTAAAGAAGAATAAATAATTTAGTTCAAACTTCATTCATACATATCTAATATTTGT